GCTAGTGAGAACGTGGTCTCCTGTGTAACAGGTATGGAACAAGACATTTCAGCAGGGGAGGATCTTAAGCTATGACTGCTCTTCAACAGTCACAGGTCTGGGTCTTAAATTTTCATATGGAAGGAAATGGGGTGAGCAACCTCTCTCATAGAAGAAACAGCATGGTAAGGAACCTCGCTTTATATATGTCTCCCTCCTCCAGTGCTCCACATTTCTAAACACATAACCAAGACTGAATTACTGCACTATAAAATAAGTTGAACCCGCCGTGACCTGAAGGCTGGTTCAGTTTACAGCCAAGTCCATAATCCAAAAGGCATGAAGGATCAGCAACGGGAAGAGAAATAAAAGCGCTGAGCAGAAGGAGTCAGCAGGTAGTCCTTAACAGTCAGCTAATCACAGTGAATAATTTATTACAGCAATGCCACTGAGACTCTGCTAGCTTTTAAACCAGTACTTCCTGGAAATGTTTTCTGTTCCTCTTGTATCACTTGTAAATTTGAAATCTTTTATCCCTGCCTGCAATGCAAAGATGTTTGCAAAGGTCTTAGGATATGATGCTGTTCCAAGAAGACTCCAACCAGCCATGAGTCCAATACACTGTCTCTGACCCCTCTGGATTCTGGATGCTCTAGAGAAAGGCCAGCCCTTTCCAGATACACTCTGTGGCTCAGTGGCACGTCAGTGAGAGGAGTGTTACACATGCTCCATGCCTCTCACAGCAGAAACCAACTTGCTGCCAAATCAAACACCCTTCTTGAACATCAGGGTTTATAACCCCTCCCAAAATCCTGTTTGAAAACAACCAATTCGATGTTATAACGCTGGATGGAGGGGTCACATACACACCTGTAGTGCCATCTTAAATCCTTCAAAGCTCTGGATCTCCGTTGTATCATGCAGCAAGGAGTTAATGCAAGTGAATTGGACTCCCTTTAGCTGATCTGAATTTCGTGTTTCTTTTGCCTTTTTGACTGTCCTGATGTTCTGTGATCAGTCAGGATAGAGACCAATTTGTCAGCTTCCTCCTCCCCATCATTCACTAGTTTCTATACCTTTCACATCAATCCCTGCTTTATGTTTTTTTAAGTTACTGGTCTGTCATTCCTTCACCACAGGAAGCACAAGTTTAACCACTCCATCAATGCAATTACTGACTTGACAATGCTTCATTATGCCCTAAAGCAGAAAGGATCTCTATTTGTTCTGCAATAAAGCAGCTCTTAATTAGACTATTGCTCCTCCTGTGTAAATATCTCATTTTGCCTCTGGAATTGGGAAAGTTCACTCTATCTCTTGCTGTTTGGAAAAGACCAAGTGACATCACACAGCAATCTTTCTGGACACAATGTGCTGATTACTTTGCTCATGCTCTCAACAAGCAGGTGATTTCTCTCTGATCTGGTGCTTAAAGCTACTGATTTTACTTGTGCTTTGTATTACTTGATAGCATGGGTCCAACTCAGCTCTTGTTTTTGCATGTTTCAGTGGGAAGTCAATCCATTACCATTGCTTTGGATTCACAACAATACTACAAATTAAATTCTTCTGTAATGAGAATCCATAGAGCATTGTGGAGAACTTATGGCAAGGGACAGAGTATTTTCACAGCACGGTTCATTTCATCTCAGAGAAAGGACAACGCTAGGAAGAAATGGCAGAAATGGATGTTTGGCTGTCACAGGGAAAATCTTTGTCAAGTTACATTCACAGCTGATGCCTCACATTTTATCTTATTTCCAAAAGTCTTTATTTGCCTTGGGTTCTCTTCAGTCAGCCAGAGAATGTGAACACTAATAATGTTTATGAGCCTGAGAAAAAAGGCTCACCTCAAGTTTCATTGCCACTAGCCTTCTGTGGAAGAAGGGGGGATAACACTATACAGTGTTGCAAAAAGAACCAAAACACTACCAGACTCTCCTTTAAGGTAATTGTATTCCTGGTGATAAGTTAAACAATTTCTCTGTTTATTTGCCATATGGAAGTCCTTCGGCTGACTTTGTTAATCATTCACTCTTCAGCTTGGCGTTAATTGTTTACTAACTGTTAAACTGTGTGCACTGAGAGATGCCTTTGGGCTCTTAAATCAGTGGGAATATCTCACTAGAACAACAGAGACATGCCTAGTGCTACTACAACTGCTTGAGCATGCCGGTCTCACAGCTCCAGGCTATGCTGCTTGTACTTCATGTACAGGTCTCTTGGGATGGAGGGGAGTTACATCCCTACCTGCTGGTTAAAATGAACAAACACCACTCAGAAAATATAGTGACATAGATGGGGCTGCAGTGCCTTGGTCTTTCTTTCCAATTGCATTGGCAAGCAAAAAAAAACCCCTAAAGACCCTTCTATGAAAAGGATGAGTTTGGTCACTGCAGCCTCAGCAGCCTGTGGGAGAATGGTGCTGGCACATCCTATCTGAAGACCTGGTTACAAAGAGTTTGCATTGGTTTATCACAGATATTGGATGGTGCTGACTCAAGATGGGTAGAGCCCAGCAGGACAATGAATCTTTTTTTGCTGTGATTTTTCAAGGCACATCAAGCCTTGAAGGGCCTTTTCACAGGGAAGAGTTTGTAGAAGCTAAGTCTAACATAGAGGGAGATAAATTCTGCCCATCCTAGATGCTGTGCGCTGCTGCTACAAAAAATTAAACTGGTTCTGCAAGCCACTAAACTTCCAGAATGCCTCAGCATATAGTTAGCAGGACAGCAGCCATCTTTCCACTCTGGATACTTGCTGCTTCTTGTCCAGCTGCAGTGATGGATTTTGTAAGGTATACTGAAACTTTTGCCTTTATTTAATACCTAAGAATGAACAGCTGCCAGATCATAACTGATATGGACCAAATCTGGGTTCGAACAGGCAACATTCATGAGGAAGCCTTTGGCAGGGCTTGCTGAGTCTGTGAGCTAGCCCCTGAACATAGAGGAGAAAAACAGAAAAGAGAACGATAAGCCTCAAAGTGATGGCTTTGGGTAGCTTCAGGGCTTCCACAGAATTCAAGCATTGGCAGGAGGGAACATAAAAATAGAAGTACAGAGTCACGCTGGGCTCTGCAGATCAGCTGCATTCCAGTTTAGTAGCCCTGCATTCCTGTCTGAACCACCTCGGACTAGGTGCCAGATACCCATCTCAGCTGCATCCCCAGTAATGCTGGAGGACTTATGCCTGAGTGAGAATAGCGCAAGCAAGATCAGGTTCTGGCCCTGCGTCAGCCTCAATTCTCCTCACCCAACTCATCCAACTTGCTGACAAACCTGGTTAGTTTTCTAGACACATGGCTGATTTACTCCAGCAATTTAATAAAAACGTGGTTTTGACTGACTGCTAATGGGATCGCCTGAGATAGGCTCAGCTGCTTAGTGTGGGTTACAGTTTTACTTGCAAGCACAATAAGCATGGAAATCTATCTAGGATGACATAATAGGAAAACATTACAATCTCCCTTATAAGACAAGCAAGGTTTCTATATGCATTTAATATAAATGTCTTGGTTTCAGCTGGTTTCTTGCTACAATTTTCTGCTTGTGTTTCTTCCAAGGAGATGTATTTTTCCATTGTAATTTTTCAATTTGTTTCTGGCATTGGCAATGTGCAGGAACAAAATCATAAAGATCAGAAAAGACATAATCGCTTTCCCCCTCCTCCCCTGATTTTTCCTTGCAGAAAGTTCAGTGGGGTTTACCCCTCCCCTTCACACAGCAAAGACTTGAACCAGCCCATGCTGGTATAGTGAAATGAATCAGATACTGTGGTAAGCTTCCAGATACCAGGGTTACCAAGCGCAATTTTACAATCTAATTAGCAGAGAATTAAACACTGCATCTTGCTGAGGGAGTTGGGCTGCCCTCGCCAGAGGGGTTTTACCACCTGTGTGGGGTAAGAAGTCTCTTTACTTGCTCTACAGAGTGTAAAAGCACACAGTGGTGAAATAATGAAGCCTCAGCCACTCTATCCGAGTGATTTAGGTTGAGCATTTTGGTATAGCCCTGCCAACAGATGGGGTTTGCAAGCATCATGCAACAGAGAAATGCTCATCTAGGCTGTCTTTTCACTGCTGTGGTCTCTGGATTATGGCAGTGGACAAATTCTAGCCCGGAAATTCCTGTTCTCCCTTCCCACCCAACCTTCCCTCCCAGATTTATGACCACTTCTGCTAAGCCACAGAAGCCCTCAGTTGTTTATTCATAAGGCGGCACCATTGTTTTGGGTCTCCTGGATTTTGTGCATAATTTGCTGAGAGAAAAAAAAAATAGTAATTCCCAATGAAGAGAAAACTGGCACCCTATTTTTTAGGGATACACTTGGGGAAAAAGGGTAGGATAGCCTATATTCCCTGATTCAGGGGAACAGAACAGAACGGAGCTGGCAGGTCTTTAAGGATGTATTCCACAGAGCGCAAGAGCTCTCGATCCCCAAGTGTAAGAAGTCGGGCAGAGAAGGGAAGAGACCGGCATGGCTGAGGCAAGAGATGCTGGTCAAACTAAGGAAGAAGAGGGAACTGCACAGGCAGTGGAAGCAGGGACTGGCTTCCTGGGAAGAGTATAGGGAAGCCGCCCGGTTGTGTAGGGATGGGGTCAGGAAGGCCAAGGCACAGCTGGAGCTGAACTTGGCAAGGGATGTGAAAAATAACAAGAAGGGCTTCTACAGGTATGTCAGCCGGAAAAAGATGGTCAAAGAAAGCGTACCCCCGCTGACGAGCGAGACCGGCGAACTGGCAACAGCAGATGAGGAGAAAGCTGAGGTACTCAACAACTTTTTTGCCTCAGTCTTCACTGGCAACCTCTCTCCTCACCCCTCCCAAGTCGATGAATGGCATGAAGGAGACCAGGAGGGTAAAATCCCTCCAGCTGTAAGTGAAGACCAGGTTTGGGACCTCCTGAGGAACCTAAACGTACAGAAGTTCATGGGACCTGATGAGATGCATCCCAGAGTCCTGAGGGAATCACAGAATCACAGAATCACAGAATCACAGAATAGTAGGGGTTGGAAGGGACCTCTGTGGGTCATCTAGTCCAACCCCC